TTTCGTTTTGAAGATTTATAGAAGTCTATAACCTTCCTCAATAGCATAATTATTTTATGGTTAGAACCCGTTTTCAAGACAACATTACGCCTCAAGTCATTAGGGAGAGGTGCATGTAATTATAACATCCATTTTTCATCAGTTATGTTATGATTCCTATGTAATAACCAAGTGTAATAGACTTACAAGTAGATAAGCGCTAAATGGCATTTGGCTACAGTTGCAGACAAAATATACAAAATTTTGTGCAAAAACTGCTAATTTGAAATCTAGAACCTGATGTAAACCCAGTTAGTGGGTAGTTTATAAGTGAGACACATATAAACTATGTGTTACATCTGATGGTAAGCAATCAGGGTCGCCAATGGACGCGCACCAAACCCGAGGAGTCGGAAGTGCGTTGCTGACCTTTTTGTTACACTTGGTTGATATTAAAATTATTTATTTATTTATTTTATATTTAACCATGGTCGTCCCACTGCAGGGCAAAGGCCTCCCTACCCTCCTTCCACTCGTCTCTTTAGTTAGTATCTTTATATAAATTAGTTATTTAAATTTTAAGTGAACTCTCCTATTGTTTAGCTATCAGGCCACGTGAGTAGTTCAAGATAAGAGGGGTCAGGGGCAATTAGCATTCCAAAATAGTTGGAAATCCTGAAACGTTTAGCAGTAAACAATAAGTTTCATAATAACATTATTAAGTCATCGTTAAAATAACATTATTTAACAATTTGTTAATTTAATGTCCAAATAAGTAATTATTTTAGCAATTTTTGTTAAATTAGATACATCATTAATTTCTAATTTATTTCATATTAATCAGTCGGCAAATTGTGTCTAGTTCGTTTTTTTTAAAGGGGGGAAATCATCCAATGCCTTGGCTGAGGCAAGAGAGTGTCAGACTCTTTCTGACTAAAACCCATCCCGTTCCTACTCCCGCTTAGTCCCAGTAACACATTAGGTTGTCCACACCTCTGGCTATCTAGGATCTTCTCCTCTAATAAGTACCCGAATACATATGAAAATTAATTCATACAAAGTAGTATATTATATTCATATATAAATAAACAAATAACATTGCATATGAAATGCGTCAATGGCTGGTTATATAAAATGCAATAGAACAGTCATGGGTCACTAACCTTTCATATATTATCATGAGATGACAACAATTTGTAATCACGTGTATTTTTAGACAAACCGTATTGAAGATGTTTGTTTAAGTTTACTAATACCATGTTTGATTATACCTAGTCTCATTTAGGTAAAATTTATTTTTTATTTGTAATCTGCCAACGGCCGTCTGAGCCATAATCATATTGTTTTTGTCGTGGATTCGACGCCTGGCAACAGAGGGGTGGACGCGAGAAGCGCGTGCCCAACTGCTCATAAAGTGGCAGCGGCGCCAAAAAAAATGGGGCAACTTTGAGGTACTTGGATAGAGCGCTCTATGGGTTTAATCTGCCTGTGTACCCGCAGGTAAAATAAAGGCGGTAAATGTAGTATTATTACTCTACCAACACCATAATACATACAATTGTGTATTATTTCTAAGTGCTAATCTATCCATTTATAACAGGAAAATATTAACTTTAATCTTGAATGCATTTTGGCTTCGGAAAATACATCATTTTGTTGTGTTGCACAACAATTGAAATTCAAGGCACTTACAACTATCGTTCAAGCAAGATAAGAAGTTGTCTACAATAACAAATTCATTGTTTATTTGAATAAGCTAATCTTAGGAATGGTTAGTCTTTTCTTACGCATTTGAAAGACTAATTTTAGAAGAATACTACCCATTTATTTTAGCATGGTTAAAATAATAGTCCTCCTTTTTGTTTTCACCAAAGTCAGGTAAAAGGATCACAAAATGTGGATAAAACTAAGAGAATAACAATGTTAAGCTCTTTAAAACCATCTCTGTAAAGGTAGAGGTAACTAGAAAGAAATTAAATCTTTAGTCCACTGGTAATATGAGCCTTTCTCCATTGAAAAGTAAAGCTTTGTAAAAAAAAACAGAATGGCAAGACATTCACAAACTAAAGGCCCATAAAAAAGGTAAACCTTCCCAGAAATGTGCTATTATCTTTGTCAAAAGGACAACAATGGATCTCAAAAGATTTTGAGTTAAGGAAACTCACTGACCATTATGCTATTGTGAATTTTTATATGTTAAAGCACATGTTTGCTTGTGGGCCAATCTTAACCAAAATCTTTGGACTGAGATCGAGTTTTAGCCTTCAATGGAATCGCAAAATAATTTTGGTAATTAACCAAAATTATACTGAGGCAGGAACTCATGGAAACTTAATGATATTTGAAAAAGAAGAGAATTAAGAATGTGTTTACATCTGACACCTCATGATTATGAATGCGCTCACCCCCAATTACTTGGGACCCATAACATAAATAGTAAAAGAAGATTAGAAAGTTGCTCTCAAATAACTCGGAGTATGGGCAGGCGGAAAAAAAGAATGAATAAGAATCAGACATTCAAACTTTATCAAAAATATTAATTAAGTAAGAACATAAAGATTTATTTAAAAGATGCATTATATAATTATTATAATTATCTTGTAATAATCATTAAAATAAAATAAATATTATACTAATTCGCTGATCATTGTAGAGTTTGTTGTATTGAAATCAAGCATTTTATCGAATTAGATCATCTTTTAGATAAAAATATGGTGGAGGCTATTTCATTGCTAGGTAGATTATTTATCTTTTTACATTTTAATCTAGAATATTCTAGACCTGAATGAATCATTATGTAAGTTTTCAATGATTTTTTATATGGGTGGCAGATTTATATTGCTACCACTCTTTGATAGCGTCAAAAGCTCATGCCAGAGAGTATGGCATACATTCATACGAAAATAATGTATGGCATAAATTCCACAATTGGCAGGAGTTCGAAGATTACAATCTAAAACAGGTTTAAAACTGCTGCGAACCTGGCCAAACTTTGTTAATAGACAAGACGTCGGAAAGATTAGAGTCAGTGATAGATTTTCTTACTATATTCTGACATCACATATTATAGTGAGTGATACTAACAGAAACAACTCAAGATTTTCTTTATTTTTTAGTAGAACCTTATCTCAGTAACTACTAGACAGATATGAGGAAAAATTTTGGTATTCAATTACTCATTTTTGAGGTAGGTTAGTTACATAACAATAATGTTTAGAAACTTTCAGACAGTCTCAATAACGTATTTGCAGTAGAATTAAATGAAAAGAGATTGAGTTTTTATTTTCAGTGCTGAGTGAATTTGTCATTAACATGTAGAAGAAATATGAAATACATGCACAATTCATAAATATTTCTGTAATGTTCATCATGTAAAATGGATGTGTATCTACTCATATCCAGGACAAAATGGTCCCACAAAGACCTAATTCTCAAAAAATTTAGGCCCAAAATAAAAAAATTAACCTTAAATTTCGATGTATAATGAAAAAGGTCAGTTATTTAACCATTGGAGGTCAAGGATTCCACCTTGGCATTCACAATGCAAGGTTGAAATTACAAAATGTACCGTTAATGATGTGATTTTGTAACAAAACTAGTATTTTAAGTACTTGCAAGTCTAAATACATGCTTCAGTATTAAAATACTATGAAATAGTTTACTAGTATTAATAGAAAAGAAAAGAAATGTAGGTACAAGTACCTTATAATTATTGAATGTTTAAAAAGATGTTCAGAGTTGTAATTTACTAATGATAACTTTTGAGTTTCCATAGCACCGTGTTGTATTTTTTCTTAAATCAGGATGCAGAGGTGTTTATTTCCAGTGGCATTTGATATCAGAATATCAACATGAATTTGTTTGACAACAATATGCCCCTTACTACGCTGTAATTAGTTAATGGCTAATTCGAGGGTTTCCTATAAAAATAACCTACTCTGCCTTCAATTTAGACAAAAATATGTACTCAATGTTACACTGAACATAATAGAGAATACAATTTTCATGGAAAACTGTTATCTACCCTTCAAACCAAGGAGGTTGGCAAATTCCTGGTAAGATAGACAAGATAAGGGAATATGATAGTGAATTATATACCATAGAGTAATCCTTAATGTTCATTTATCTCTAACTATGTCCATTTACTCATAAAAGAGCTGTAATATATCATTGTTTGAATAATGAACAATACTTCAGTTACATTTTACAGTGGACTTTGTTGTAACAGGAAAAAATAATCAAATAACCTCATTGCAAATTTGTTTGCGACATATTATTGTAAAATAACATTTATGCGCTAGATTTTCCTCAATAAACGTTGTTGAAATGCTTTGTATCTGTAAATCAAACTACAAATTGGCGCCTACGACGTACATAACTGTATTTTGATCAGGAGATAAGTACACGCGTCGATTTTAAGTCAGTACGTTAGAAAATATGCAAGTTATCTATGTTTATTACTTTCATGTACCAGGAAAATATGATAAGGTGAAGATCACGAACGAATTACGTAGAAATACACGCCACGCGCGTGTACAATGTAAAAATCGTTTGTATCGAGTAAATTTAGCTCGGCAGGTCGATCACTCGCGGGCCCTACGTCACCCGCGCAAGCGTCCCGTCGACTCAGCTGTAAGAGCAGTGACCTCGAGGAAAAACCACGCTATCATGCGTGACCCTAACCTAAATACAAACATTTCACACTTTTCAGACCCTTTCATACATACTATAGCTTACTTACCTGTAGAAAACGAGCCGTTACTCACTGTCACGCGGGAAATCCCACACTACAAAGCGAAAGTGGCCACAGTGACGCCGCGGGCCACAATCGAAGTTTCATCATCTTTTTCCACTGTATTTCACCGACACAACACACTTTATACACTTATTTGGCTATTGAAACGCGTGCTAACTACAATTACACTAGTAAAAACACTTTTAGTTAGCATGTTTTACGCACTTTAAGCACATGACTCGACAAAAACATTGAGCTGAAAACACCACATTTTGAAAAAGGATACACTTGAAGCCTCTGGCCCATGTCCTGTATTAAATTCGCGGCCTGCTGCCGATATGCCAATTCTTTATCTGCATCTAAACCGCATTTTCTGCTTGGAGAACTCAGTAATTGTTCTTTGGTGAAATACCATTTTTCCTGCCCACCAGCCATTGAGCGGATATTCCGACTGCTCGCGAGAAAGCACGACGGAGAGCAGAGCTCCGTCTAAGTGCGTGAGTGGGAAAGGGATAGCGCTATGACAGCGGCGACCGGACGTAGACCACGTTAACATTTGAGAGATTTAAAACTTGTAATTTAACATTTTGAATGTACAACACTGTTATTAATCACTAATTAACAACTAAAAATAAACTTTGTTTTTTTAAAAGTCCAAATCTATTATATAACGCTTGAAAAAAAATCGTCACAACACAAATTCTTGATAGGTATTCTTAAACGGACGCCATTGTAAAACTTGGTGGTCAACGCAGTAAGGTCTCCGGTGACAGAATGCGGATCTGCAACAATCACAGGTACGTTTCACGTTATCACTATGCTTTATTCTATTCTTTAGACATTTGTCTTTCTTTTGTGTATATTTTTGAGACAATTCATGAAGTTTTGAATGATAATTTTCAACTTTAATTTTACGGACCTAAATTCTCTGTCACACCGTGCAAATGGCCGACCCACCACTGTTTACAATACACTGCTTTATTTCTTTAGTGAAAAACATATCTTCATAGGTGAAGTAATAAGTAATGATGGCATAATTAATTAATTATTTTTTTAGTAATTGTAGTGATTATAGATTTCTGGAAATAATGGTAATTAATTAATGAGGATGAATATTGACAATGTACCATTGACCGATGAAGTGAAATTTTGCGCGGCTACGTGGATTAGAATGATTACGATGAAAACAGAAAAATAGTATTTTCTTATACCCTTGTTACGTAATAAAATAGTAATTTTTCTGTCTTAGAAACATTCTTACATGTTACGGCGTTGATTTTGGTTATTTTTATTTATTATTGTTGATAATTATCGCAAAAATGTTTTCGTTTGGAAGTGAAAATTCTAACCAGCTGAACGCTCACAACATTAGGATTACTGAACGTAAGTCCAAATGATTTTTTATCTAATTTAACCTTATTAGTATTAGTAAATTATATAAAAACATGTTACCTAATAGTTAGTAATTGCTAATTATCACTGCTATCAGATATTCCAATTTTCAAAAGGTACAAAATTTAAAAGCGTACCTACTGAAGGCACTGAAGGTTATGATTGAATTGGTATTTAGGTATTTATTGTTATTCAAGGTGACTTACAAATATTTTATTGACGCTAATTTCTGAACATAATAAACGCATTTAAACATTTATTGGATGTAAAAACTATTAACTTTAGAGCATAAACTATTATTTTCATTCACAAACACAATGTTAAAGTTACCTAGTTGATATAAATAATGGCGGGTAAAACTTTAGAAAAAAGTTGTTTCAAAATTAGGATTACCCTCATCAACTAGCGCGTTGGATTAAAAATATTGATGTTTATTGTTCATAAAACAAAATTAATTCCAGGAACCATAATAATTTGCATATTTTTGTATGATCGGTTGTGTCCGAAAATATCCGCTGATGAGAAACGGGTGGCAGTATCCTTTAAATTTTCGGTGATCTAAGAAACGTACAGGTTTATTAAAGAGTGCTATTGCCTGGTCCTTGTTAAATACGAAGTCCCTTCTTATCTCCATGCTGAAGCATCACTCTTGGACACTTGCCATAGTACGAGACCCGCAGTACGAGTATCGTCTAGACACAGTGACGAAAGCATTGTAGAACCTACCCTACAATGCTTTTGTCACTGTGTCTAGTAGAGTACTACCGTCCAGACGGTACGGTGTGTACAGTACGGCTTGTCGCGTTCCGAGCGCGCCTCAAAGAGCCATCTGACCACCGCAGATAGGGGCCAGCAGGGATGATGCCCGATCCGGGTTACCGGACCGGGGCTCCGGTTTAAAGCAGAAGTAGGAACGGAGTTGCTGTTATTCAGAGTCTGACATTCCCAATCGCCTCACCCAAGACGGGAGAAGTCATTGGATGATTCTCCCCCTTAAAAAAAACAAAAAGCGTACTTGACTGTCACTACACCGTACAAGGCAATCCTTCCATGTTTTCTGGAAGAAAAAATAAAATAACTAACGATGCTTTTTTCAACATTTCCAGTTAATCCGTCGACTTCAACCATGTCTCAGCCACAAGGAAAGGTGATTCATCTTCCCAAAGTCAGGATGCTCAGTCGTGGCGGCAGGGTGTCTTCTGGAGTACGCATCACCAACGTGAAGTCCATTAAACCACCAGACCCTGAAGTTGTGAAGAAACAGGAGGAGGAGAAACTTAGAGCTCAGGTATTTTGGTTTTTGTCTAAGTAGTTTTTTAGTAAATGGGTTTAAAAGGGGTAAACATTTTTTTAAGGGGGAAAATCTTCATATGTTTTCTCCCGCACTGGATGATAAGGAAAAGCTCAGAAAGTGTCAGCTCTTACTGACTAAAAACCACTTCATCTTACTCCTGCTTCGAGCCGGAGCCTCGGTAGCTCATGCGGTCATTCACAACTGCGTAGCCTTAGAGTGGTCGATGTATGGTAACGGCCTAGGCCCCATACATTCGCGAAGGACACTCCGGGCGTCGGGATGGCGATCTCCAGCCACCGAAAGCACGGGCTTGTGGACAGCGAGTATGGGTAGCTAGATGGTCGGGCGACCAGAACCAGACCCGCGTACGGCACGTCGCGTTCCGCGCGCGCCTCAAAAATCTAGCAGTCCACCACAGATGGGGCCCAGTAGAACTGATGTCGATACGGAGCCGCGGAGGACTTAACGGGTTGCCGGGGCTCCGGCTCGAAGTGAAAGAGTAGGGTGGTAGGTGGTTTTAAGTCAGTAATAGTTTCCATTACATTCCCTTCCGCTTCGCCCAGGCGGGAGAAGTCATTCGATGATTTTCAAAGGAAAAAGAAGAAGGCTCCATACATGGGACTCGTAAGTTTAAAAATAACTAGCGAAAAAAGGGTTTATTAAGTACGTGTATGTTACATTCGTTACTCCATTTCGTTGTAATTGTTAGCACCTAACAATTTTCGAGGACTAAACTGAAATTAATCTTCAGCTCCCTTCAAAGAGTACCTACATACACTATGCACCAGTTATCGTAATTTACATTTTTTTATGTTTATTTAAATACTAGCTGATCCTGCAAACTTCGTACCGCCAAAAACCCTTTTCTTTTTTTGTCTCCCTTCTTTAAACCTTCCCTGGACTTCCACGAACATTTCAAGACCAAAATTAGCCAAATCGGTTCAGCCGTTCTCGAGTTTTAGCGAGACTAACGAAAGGAAATTCATTTTTTTTTATATACATACATAGATTGATTACCTATATTAACCAAACATTTTCCTTTTTACAGCTTCAAAAAGAAATTGTCTCCCGTTCGCGTCTCTGTGCCAACAAAAGCTATGAATGCCTACTCCCAGTTGTATCCGGACGACAGTACTGCTACCGCCATATTCTAAGAGATCCAACAGCGCCGTATAGACAATGTAACCATACCTTCGGCAATGGAGAGCGGTGTAATATGCCGGCTCCCATTGATTCTAGAGACCATAGAGATCCAGGGTGAGTAAAACCTTAAAACTATTATAACCTTTTTAGACAGAAAATAACTAGACTGTGAAATCTATTTAGTTTTCGTGCCCACGGCAAAACAACTTGTCATATGGAGTGCTTTCGGTGTAAAAAGTAAAAATAAAAAAGTAAAGATGTCATTTGTGTTTAGTTAAAATAAAATATAGAAATACGCACATAAAACACTAGACGTTTTGTAGGCACTATTCGCATCGCACCCGACGAGAAACACCACTTTGAGAATTACATGGTATGCTGTTTTGATAATGTACTATGAGTTCGTATGCGCTTTCGAAGTTTGCTCTTTGCAATGGTTCATCATTTATTTTAATCAATAACTAATTGTAATTAATTAATTGTATTTAAGCGACTTCAAAAAGAACAAAATGAAGGTAGAAGGAACAAAAAGAAGACGTGTATGTATGTGCGCGAACATCTCGCGATTGTATGATCCAATTTTATTATGCGTTTTTTTCAGACAACTCACATGATAGTTTAAAATACGGAAAGTTGATTCTCTTAACTGTGTGTATTCAAAGTAAATAATATAATAACCATGTATTAATATTTTCAGCTTATGCTTCGAGCATGCCCGAGCAGCGCTGTACGCTCGGCAGCGCAGCGCGGCCGCTCCACCGCCCGTCGTCACTACGGAGACTCTTCTCAACCAGCTACAGCATTATGTTAAGTAAGTGTCGTTATTATCTACAATATATAAATAAGTCGGGTTTTCCTTCCTGACGCTATAACTCCAGAACGCACGAACCGATTTCCACGGTTTTGCATTCAAGCAAGCATGCAAGAAAGAAAATCACCAAACGAAATGTTACATAAAGCGAAGCCATCTGGTGGCGAAACGGAGTTCGCCGGGTTTGCTAGTACTATATATAATTAGGACTCCTTACAAATGTTATAAAAACGACGAAGGCATGACTTGAGGTTTTTTTTATTGGATAAGCCGGTAAACGAGCATACGGATCACCTGATGGTAAGCAATCGGCGTCGCCCATGGACACCTGGAACACCAGAGGCGTTACAAGTGTTACCGGTATTTTGGGGATTACGAATTTGAGGATTATTGGGGATTCAGAGATTGGAGAGGGGGATAATTGGGTCGCGAGTAACCTCATTCACACGACAAAACGCGTTAATTCACGTCGGTTTTCTGTGAGGCCGTGGTATCATATAGTCGAGCCGGCCCATACTACCGTGCTGGAGTCTATGTTCCCAGAAGGAACAAAGTCAAAGCCAAAATGATTTATTTCATTAGAACAGAAAGGTATTTTTGAACGTCAACATTTTGAATACAACCTGGGTCTCTATGTCCCTAGGTTCTATTTAGGCAGGCTTACTTCACCATCGGCCACATCATAGCTTGTTGCTTGGCGAGTTGGTGGTCAAACGCCATTAACGATTCGATTCCCACATAGAACAACTATTTGTGCGTGCTAATTGTTGTTCGTAGCTGAAGTCTGTTTGTAAATGCACCCACGAAATAGCAGAAAACTCTTTTACAAAATCGGACATCTTACGTATGTTCTTACCGCCCTTGAGGCTTAGACTATATGTCGTGAGACACAGGGAATCCTAGTGTGATGTCCAGGACACAACAAAATTGTTATTTTATTTCTGTAATAAACGTTATCATTCTAATAATAAATTACTATTCTCAATTTGGGTAAAGTATGACCAACAAAAAATTGACTAGAAACGGACCTAGGGGCGATTGAAGTAAGTTTCAGTCGGAGCAATTTTATTATTTACACGATAATATTTTATTGATAATATTTTATTTTAAGGCTATTTTCTATATCTCTTCGTTCTAGCCCGAAATTAGACAGTATACTTCGAAACTAGTAGAGGAACCTATAATAATTTACTTACTTATCTTCCAGGCCAGAACGTCCTCGTACGACATCCTGTGCATCATCAGTGTCAGTGGTCAGTGATCCAGCTGAACAGGAACAGGCTGATCCACAAGTCGTTGATCCATTCAGTAAGTACCTTCCAGTCATGTGGTCTCTTTTGTGTCTTTAGGCTTAAGTCACTCTGTCTCCTACATAAATTCACCAAAGGAAGCGAAAACTATCGTGTTTTTTCTTCTCTTCTACGAATATCTTCTGATTCATGTCCCTAGGACGCGCCTTACTTCATTGTTTTAGTATTTTGTCATGGTTGTATCTACTGTAGATCCTGGCTTACAGTAGTTGCAGCGGTTTTGGGAGGTTGTGGCAGGTTTGTCCCCAAAAAAAACATCTAAAAGCAAATCAAAGCAAAGAGTTTAGCCTAGAGGAGGTCCTTAATCTGGAGTGAACTGTTGATGATATTTACTATTTCATACAATGTTCCAGAACAATTAGACGCAACATCAATAAACACTGCGTACGCTACATCAATGATGGAGTGTGCCAGTTGTAGCGACAGTGACGGTGAGAGTGTGACGCTGGGCCCCGGCGGGGACTGTCGCGCGGGGGACCACGAGGACCTCTCCGATACTGAAGACGCGCCCTGTGAGGACTTGCCACTCTGGTAACTATAATACCTTTTTTTAAGGAGGGGAAATCATCTAATGACTTCTCCCACCTTGGGTGAGGCGAGAGGGAGTGTCAGACTCTTACTGACTAAAAACCACCCCGTACCTACTCCTGCTCTTCGAACCGGAGCCCCGGCTACCCGTTAAATCCTCCGCGGCTCAGTAAAAAACATCGTAAAGTTGAAATCGAACTCACATCGTCGTAATAGTCTTATTAATTTTAAAGCAGGCTTCTTTACCCAATCGACCGCGAGCAATACAGCTACATTAGCTAGTTTAGAGGAGGATCCTCCGACCAGGCGAGGTGTTCGTTGCTGGCGGGCTTTCTGACCAATAGTTCCCTTCGTCAGGTCTTCTCTGCGTCCCCGGTTGGGGGCGCGAGGTCGCGCGATCCAGGCCGATGCCTGTCTCGGCGTTTCGCTCGCTGCCTGCTACAGCAGGCGAGGGGTTGGGTTAGTCGGGCTCCTCGCGGGCCCGATGCCGTGTCGAGTCCGGTGGTTTGCCCCGCCACGAGCCACGGTCTAGCCGGGCAAGCCCAGCGAGCAGCAAGCTGTTGACGGGGCATGGTCGTGTCTATTGTGGGCGCCGCTTGGGGCCGCGCTCGCGGCGCTAGCGGCGAGCGGTGTTCGTTAGGATTTTCTATCCGTGTTAATTCGCTTGTAAACTTCATATGTGTTATGTAGAAGTCATCTGTTGATTTGTTGTCATCGATGGTCTATGTGCGTTAGCTATCATTTACCATGTGACATATCTCGTCACGCTAGTATTGTATAATAACTAGTCGCAGAGCCGTGTTATCCCTAAGAAAACTGAGCTGCAGAGAACCTAACGGGTTGCCGGGGCTCCAGCTCGAAGCTCCAGCTCGAGTAAGAACGGGGTGGTTTTTAGTCAGTAAGAGTCTGACACTCCCTCCCGCCTCGCCTAGACGGAAGAAGTCATTCGATGATTTTCCCCGCTATCAAATCCCTAAGAAAACTAGACAAGTTTGGAATTAGAACAGAACGGGATCAATATTTCTATTACATGGGAGTCACATAACTGATCAAAAGTGAACCTGTGAATGTTATATTGTTTATCCACATGTGCCTTCTATATTTAAAAAAAAAATAATTTCAGGAAAGCAGGAGTCTACACAGCTGAGGAAGCGGTCTCCGTAGCCAAGACTTGCCTAAAGTTGTTACAATCTGCGTATATAAAGCAAATGTCGAGGCTCCGAGTGTTATTGCAGAGCGCTAGACTTAATTATTTACGAGATATGAAGGCGGAGAAGGAACAATATTGTGAGTAACTTTGTTATACGTGATTTTAGTATATTTTTTATTTATTTATGCACAATGGGTATACAATGGCGTACTGAATGCCTATGTGGCATTCTCTAACAGTCAACCTTAGGGTGATGCAGAGAGACACAATAGTAGGTGTAAAATTTTCACAACCCGTTTTTGAACATAAATTGATATGTAGATATACTATAATTATCACATAATATTGGTATATGGGTACTTCCCTTCATCAAAAATAAATTATTTTGACTGTTTAAAACAATAAATATTAAAAAATAATCACATTTTATGAACAACTTAATTTTTGTATTATTTCAGCTAATTTTTAAGAAATAAGTATAATGTTCGACACTAAAAAAACGTGACGTCACAATATACAATCTCGTACAAAATTCATAACAAAACTGTCGTTTTTGACAGTTCGCAAAAAGTATTGCATTTGACTAGGTACCTTACCCAAGTACCCAATTGTATCTAAGAGCAAAAATGCGTAATTCCAAAAGTAGGCTCCGCTTTGCTCCTTTTCAGTACGCTCCGCTTGCATTGGAAACACTGACCACTTTTCACCGCTCTTCACCGCTCTTCTCCGCTCAGCTCCGCTCAGCTCCGCGTCAGTGAAAACGCTGCCTTAAACCTCCGGGACTGACTGTTGTACAATGTACAGTAAAAGGTCAAAGTCCACTGCCACCGTGAGTGATGTTCACACGGCAATTAGTAAATCATTTCATATTAATGTGCATAAAACCGTGTGCGTACGCATAAACACACGCACACGGATACAAATATGCGTGTGTGTGTGTGTGTATTAGCGCTGCAGCGCAACCGATAGTAGTCTGACGGTGGCGGTGGAGTTTTGACATTTGACCGTACATAACACTTTGTAATAAACCGAACAATTGAATATATCTTCAGGCAGTATAAACGCACAATCCCGTGGCGGTCCGCTGACAGTTCGCGAGCGGCGACAACTGCGCAAGTTGAAGGCGTTCGCCAGCTACCATAGGAAGCACGGACAGGACGCTGTGCTAGCTAGGAAACTGCATCGGAAAAGGGATAAGGTATGTTATTCATTTTTATATACAACCAGCTTCTGCCCGCGACTTCGTACGCGCAATCCCGATATTTCCCGTTCCCGTTCTTGATTTTTGGTAAAAAGTAAAAAAAAGAATTGGGTAAAAAGTATCCTATGTCCGTCTCCTGGTTCTAAGCTCCCTACCGATTTTCATCCAAATCGATTCAGCCATTCTTGAGTTATAAATAGTTTAACTAACACGACTTTCTTTTATATATATAGAAGATAATATAGAAGTACTTAAATAACAATAACAAGAAAATAAAAAAGTGTACCTACATCTCAATTTTATTTTCTTAAAATTAAATATAATTATATAACATACATACAAACATAACTTCACGCCTGTCTCCCATGGGAGATATGCAGAGACTATGGAACGCCAATTACTACGATTACTACATACCTTTCTCGCTTCAACGGTCATCAATGTTTTCATGCATGCTCGTCGGTTAAGGGTACTTTTAATTTGACCCTTCTTTAATATATCGCCGATCTGGTCACTATATGTCCGTGCCCTCTACCGACGGCCCCATTCATATCCGCTCTGTATACTTCTTTCATTATATATAAGTAGGTATATAATTATTAGTAGGTAGATATATCATCATTATCAAAAATCCATGACACATCCACTGCTGGACCTGCTCCAAGCTTAGAGACGCAGTTTAAGATTTAGGTAGATCAGAGAACGCTGCTTGGTCTCTGTTAAATGCATTGTCCCTTATTTAGCTCTTATGAAACCCACGCGAAGAGAACGGACAGGACATTGTGTTTGCTAGGAAACTGCACCGCTAAAAGAATAAGATATGCAGGCTCAACTATCTTAATATTCAAAACTCCCAAACACTTCATAATATGAGCTGTTTAGAACTTAGTTTCTTTCAAAAATCAAGAATGATCTAAAGATTTCTTAAGAGCGGTTACCAATTTCGGCTGTAAGAGCTAATGTGATGTGGTTATTCGGCAGTTTCCTCGTTTATCGACTTCTTACATATCCAAATACTAGCTTCTGCCCACGACTTCGTACGCATAATCTCATTTTTCCCGTCCCCGTTCGTGATTTTCGGAAAAAAGTAAAAAAAAAATTTTAGTTAAAAAGTATCCTATGTCGGTCTCCTGGCTCTAAGCTACCTCCCTACCAGTTTTCAGCCAAATCTATTCTGCCGTTCTTGAGTTATAAGTGGTGTAACTAACACGACTTTCTTTTATATATATAGATCACAATAACATCTTGTTTTCACATTCCAGCTGAGTAGTACATCGACAGCCACGCGTCCGCTGCCGTCCCAGGCGCGGTGCACTTTCTCTGAGGGGGGAGTACGATGTCCGGCGCACGTACTGCCCGCCGCGCGGCACTGTCTCAAGCATATACTGCACGATACTAACCAGGTAACTATGTAGCATTTTTAATGGGATAAGTCGGTAAACGAGCATACGGATCACCTGATGGTAAGCAATCAGCGCCGCCCATGGACACCTGAAACACCAGAGGCGTTACAAGTAACCTCACCTCCTCACGTCGATTTTCTGTGAGGCCGTGGTATCACTCCGGTCGAGCTGGTCCATTCGTGCCGGAGCATGGCTCTCCCACACTTTTTGCATTTTATGGTTATAGGCTCACCCTCTAGCCTCCTATTACATGGGACTGAACATAACTGGTAAAAAGTGGGTGTATCGTCTATACCATAAACTCACACTCAGGGCTTGGCACCCAGGACGTTCCGTAGACCCGACAATTTCTACGACACGTTGCCGGCGGCAACCGGCTGCCGCGCAACTTTGATGCGGTTTCGATTCCTGCACGGAGCAAATCTGTGTGATCCACAAATTATTGTTTCGGGTCCGGGTGTCATGTGTGTATGAACTTGTACGTTTGACAATGCACCTACAATACAGGAGAAAATCCTTTTTTAGGGATTAAAAGCAATGTGTTGTAATTAATGAAATTCATCTCCATAAGGATAACTTGGATTACGAAAAAGCTCTTGATATATTGTCTTTTATTGCTCAAAGGTGGTAAAAAAGCACATTTTAATTCAAAACCATCGTTATATCAGCCCAACAGGTCCACCGCCTCTATGACTCGTAGATCGGCTGATTAGAACCGACCTGCCTGCATGCAACTCCTTGCGACCTTTACCTCGTTTCTACTTAATATATTAATATTAATTATTATGTTTTTCGGCTTACTCACGTAATTATTTGACGAGAAACTCGACTAGTTTCAAGCCACGCTAGAGGTTCAAAACTTGAGATTCATGAGCCATTCCGCGACACGCGACGCGGCTACTGTCGCGCCGCTACGTGAGTAAGCCGAAAAATATAATCATTAATTTGGTATGTCTCACGAAAGTTATAATATAAATATTAATTTGTTTAATTCCAAGATAATTAAGTTTTAATAATAATTTTACTTAATTCCAGGTACTATTCGCGCCCTGCGGCGACACTCGAGGAGTGGCTTCGTGTCGGGAGCCGGTCGCGAAGCTCCCTCTACCATCCTCTGCGTGCCGCTACCACACCGACCCGCCTGTTTATACTGTTTTTAATTTGAAGGTATGTTCGTTATTATGATAAAATTGTAGTAGCATTCTGATAGGCGACTGCCTTGCATATTGCCAAGTAGATTTGGCTAACCTGCAGTTTAATTCTTGAATTGACAGACCTAATGGGTTAAATGCACTGTTGAAAAAGCAGAACTAAATAACCTAGGCCCAACCATGTAAACATGTAAACTTCCTCATTTGTCTGATACTTCAAAAATCTGAATATGTAAATAATCTACTATATAAAAATAAGTCGGGTTTTCCTTCCTGACGCTATAACTCCAGAACGCACGAACCGATTTCCACGGTTTTGCATTCGTTGGAAAGGTCTCGGGCTCCGTGAGGTTTATAGCGAAGAATGTTACATAGAACGAAGCCCTCTGGGTCTGGGTTTGCTAGTAACTCATAATAATAAATAACAAGTCAATGTAATCAAATAGATAAAAACATCCAAACTGTCCAATTGCCCATTCTCCTTGTATCTAGTCATAGGGCGACCGAGCGTACGGCACGTCGCGTTCCCCGCGCGCCTCTAAGAGCCATTAGGCCACCACGGATGGGGCCCAATAGGGCTGTTGCCGATTCGGAGTCGCGGACAACCTGACGGGTTACCGGGGCTCTGGATCGAAGTGTAGGAGAAGGAACGGGGTGGTTTTTAGTCAGTAAGAGTCTGACACTCCCTCACCCAGGCGGGAGAAGTAATTCGATGACTTCCCTTAAATATTTTTTTTCTAATAACATTATAATTTAATTCCACAGAAGGACGGATCCGACACAGAATCGGAGCCACAGTCAACATCAGATGAGTCTCATGTGGAAGAAGCTGATGCTTCAACGGATGACCGTGTAGGCGTCCAGGAGCTGGAGGAAGTCGAGATGACGTCCTTCATTCCTACTGAACTAACAGATGAATGACGAATAGCTGAACTGGTCTACCAAATGTATGAGGACTTTGGACAGTGATAAACAGTGTTACAAAACAATATTTTCGTCTCATTACATGGGATGTATAACTTAAGTGGTGAAAAGTGAGTGTTATATTGTGTATGAACGCCTCTGTCTACCCCTTCGGAGGTTAAAAGGTGATGTCGTGTTAAACTATTACGGAGGATGTTTTCCAAAGAATTTCAAAGAAAAGTGACTTGTGCTGTGCGAACGACATTTGATATTGAAAAATGTGATCAAAACCGTTAAAATTTGATGTAAGACTGGCTTGCCCAAAGTGAAACAACTATAACAATGCCTTTTGACCTAAAAAATTAATCAAAATTGTGTACAATTAAAAAATTGAGACTTTGATTTACAAATTAGTGGCAATTAGTGGTATTAAGATACGTGAACTATGAAAGAGAAACAGTAAAAAGCTAAACATTATGTATGTACTGGTGTTATATAAAACTTGTCAAAGACTTGTAACTATGACTTATAGTTAGTGAACAATCATTATTTGTAAGAACTATAAAAGATTTAAAATTTAATGTAGGTATATGTGCTGATAAAAATAACTTAAAACCTGCAATACCTACGAAATGTAATGAATATTCATACAAAAATGAGACAGTCAGTCAACTAATGGCCTGGCTCGACCGGAGTGATGCCACGACCTCACAGAAAACCGACGTGAAAAATCGCTTGCGTTGTGTTTCGTCGTGTGAATGAGGTTACTGGAGGCCCAATCTACATTTCCAAATGCCGGCAACACACTTGGTAACTCCTCTGGTGTTGTGAGTGTCTATGGGTCACGCTGATTGCTTACCATCAGCTGATCCGTCTGCTCATTTACCGCTCTATTCCGATAAATCAATAAGAATGACATTGCGAGTATTTTCGCAGTGTTAAAAAGAGAACTGTGATAAAAGTTGACAGAAAAAGTGAAATGGCACTTTAGATTTGTAATGAAAAAAAGAATAATTTATTTAGCACTTTTTTTAAGGGGGGAAAAATCATCGAATGACTTCTTTCTCCCGCCTGGGTGAGGCGGAAGAGAGTGTCAGACTCTTACTGACTAAATACCACTCTGTTCCTACTCTTGCCCTTCGAGCCGGAGCCCCGGAAACCCGTTAAGTCTTCCGCGGCTCTGTATCGGCATCAGCCCTATTGGACCCCATCCGTGGTGGTTTGATGGCTTTTCGAAGCGCGCATGGAGCGCGACGCGCCGTACGCTCGGGTCTGGTTCTGGTCGAGAATTGGTAGTTTGCCGACCGCAGGCCCATGCTTACGGAGGTCGGAGATCGTCTCGCGATTCCCGACACCCAGAGTGTCCATCGCGACGGATGGGTTGTGATGAGGCAGCGCTTCACTGTCTCACGCGCCCGCCTCCTCCTTAGCTAGCATGACTGCTTCGCAAAAGAGAAGACGGCATCCCAGTCCTCGCTCCGCATCATGACTCGGACTAGGGCCGGACACGAGAGGTCGCCGTCGCCAATCACATCACTAAGAAAGGACTAAGGGGAATAAAGTTGTGCAATTCACACGCATTGCACCGAAATATATACGGTAAAATCGAATAGCTTACACTTTGCGCTTGTGTTCGAGCTTTTGAAGCTGGGCCTCCACACGCATAAATAACATGTAACGAGGCCACAAAACAGACTTACTTTCGCATTTATAATAAGTTGGGATTACCCACCAACTACTTCATCATCATCAACAGCCTATAAGGCCTCTTCTCACACGGAGAAGGTTTGAGCATCAATCGCCCACAATCTTATAGCATGTATAAGTATCTGTACTTTAAGATTCCTAATATTTCCTATGTAAAGTAAAATTGTATTTGTAAAAAGTAAAGAAGTTGATTAAAAATATATAATATTGTTGAAATCTTATACCTCTCGTAAGACATACAAAATTAATTATGTTTAACGACATATTTACGTAACTGTTTGTCGAGATTCGTGACTGTGAGCTCCCAGCCTGGCTCGAAACTAGTTGAGTTACCTCGTAAGTAAAACGTTAAGCAAATTTTTTGAATTCGATTAAAAATGGGTGATAAAGGAATTGAAATAGTGAGAATTTTGAAGGGTACAGATTTAATATAGGATTGTAAAATGCTTTGAAAATGTAAAAAATAGCCTTTAGATGTGTAATTCTGATTATAATGTGAATTGTTGTAATTCTGATGTTATTTTAAGAATTAATCGCTTCTATGTAATCGGCGTATGATATTTTTAAATGCGTAAAATGTTTTGACCAGTGGACTTACTCTTGAATCCAATTCCGATCGATTGGCATTGATATTGTGAAATTTCGTACTCTTGAGTTTCAACACTAGCGCCCATTGCATCCGTATTGCGTGGATATTGAATGAACTGAATGGTATTGAGTTTGGTTTTATATTCCGGACTCTGAATGCTATTTTAACAGCTACAATAGGGCTTGTATAGTTTTGTCATTGAATAAGTATTGAGTTTTCATTGGATTGCAATTGCATTGACATTGAGATTGGTTACCAGAGTAAGCACCCAGTACCTAAATATTATTCTAACACATTTGTTAAAAAGCTAGATTTTTGTTCGTTCCGTCGATCTGACGACAGGTAATTTCATTTTTTAACTAATCCAGTAATAATTTAGTTAAAAATAATGTTTAGAAAAATATATAGGTACATAACAGAGGCCAGCAGGTCGAGCTACTACAATCTGTAATATCTTTCATTGCATTTTTGACTTAGGCTAATTTTGAAAATGAAATTAAAATTTGTGCAAAGGAGAAAGTTGACGTGCTTAGCCAGTGTAACCTATAGGGGCTTAATACTTCCTAATCAGTCGTTCCCTATAAATCCACAATTCCTAAAGCAGGGCTAATAATGTGATTGAATTGAAAAGCTAAAGTCGTAAAAATGTAAACTTAATATATTATTCACGTTGTTACTTGCCACATATGTATAAAAACAGTATTCTGTGTTGCTTTTCTAGTCCATAAAATGTTTTCCACAAAATAATTATGTAAAGATCTGAATGTTTCGAATGGATACCAAATAAATACATTCCCTGAATATTTTGATTGTTTTTGTTATCAATTATCATGTCATTTTGGTACATACCTTAGGTCTTGTTCCATTGGGTTGAGCTGGATATTTCATCATCAACAGCAGCCTAAATCAGTCATTTATTTCAATTAGACAAGGAAGCCACTTATGAACGTCAACAAAAATTTTAAAGTAATGGAACGCAGTTATGTTGCCAAAAATCCCAATAGCTTTGTGGGAACTTCAGACTCCGTGCTATTGAGGCAGAAATGTAAGTAAAACAAGAAATATTTTAGTTTTAAATAAAAAAGAAAGATTATTTGCATATTCCAAACTGCAGATTCCTATGGAGAAGAACGAGCAAGAAAGTCCATAAGTTACTCATTTTCAATCAGGTTCACAATACAATTATCAGCGAGTGACAATCCACAGCTGGAGCCGAACTATGAGCTTCCTCCACAGGAGTTCGCCATAATTCTCACATTGCTACATTTGCTACCCAGTCTCTGGCAATCGTGTAGTCTCTTTGTTGGCTCTTGTGACACTCGCGGGAAGACCAGGGGTGGTGTCAAGCCAATTCTACTCTGCCGTCAGTATAAAAGACTAATTTTAACATCACATATGAGAGAAATGAATCAAATGTATTTATTAAAACCCCTTTGTATCTGAAAATCGAAAATTTCTCGAAAACTAGACGACACTTCCTAAAACCTAGTAAAAACATACCCACGAACCGTTGGTACACTTGGGTGAAATTGGCCCACTTTCCAAAATTTCTGGATATAGTAACCATTTGGCAAATAAGTTTATGATGTAAAACATGATAAGTTGAATTTCTACAGTTAATCTGGTCCATTTAGGCATAAAATAAGGAGGAAGGTTACATAAATTCATAAGAAGCTGAAACTTAGCAGAATTGTTCAAAACATTTTGCATGGCATAAGCCGGTAAACGAGCAGACGGATCCTCTGATGGTTAGCAATCGGCGCCGTCCATGGACACCTGAAACACCAAGGCGTTACAAATGCGTTACCGGACTTTTGGGGTTTAGAAATACCTCTATAAGGATTATTGGGATTTCAGGGATCCTCCGGTAACCTCACTCACACGACGTAACAACTCGAGCGTTGTTTTTCTCTTCCTCCAACCTTAATAGCTGCTCACCTACTTATGATTCGGGTATATTACTAAGTTCAAGTGTGGCTTGGTAATCAGCTGGTCCCTAAAGACTGGGGTCGGAAGCTGGTCGACAGTACCCTAGAGCCAGTTCAAATTTTACTTCCACCGGCACCTGAGAAACTTCGAAACTTCTCAATATAATATTTTGCAACAGCAAAAAGGTTGTACCTAATGCTAAATTTGGTTGTAAAAAAGTTGGACTATTTCGTTCCCTGGCATGCACACACTGTCAAGGCAAATCGTGCTCGAATGTGTATGCTCAACTATTAAAGACTCGTATGATACTATGATACCGATGAGGAATCGCTATCGGGGCAGTTGTCTTGTGAACAGTGCCGTAACTAGCCTTCTAGGCGCCCGGTGCGAGCTTTCAAAACTGCGCCCTTGAAAAATGTCCTTACCAGGCTCTGACAATAAAATGGACAAATGTGCATGAAAATATATCTGTTTATTGTGTACCAAGTTATAGGTCGGTACTTAGTAGATGTATTAAGACAATTCGTTGCTGCCATTCCGCCATGAGATCGCGCTGGAGCTCTTCCCACCACGCACGTATCTGGCGCGGCAGCGGAGTTTCGCCCCGGCGACGTGCCTCCACGCGCATGCGATACTCGCACGCGAGCACCTTCGCCTCCAGATCCCACGGCGGTAATCCGGCAAGGAGGTTAACCGCCTACCCGGAGATCGTGCGGTATCCGCGGATCATTCGGATCGCCATGACCCTCTGTGACATGAACAGCGCCCGAGCGGGCCGGGGCATCAGGTTCGG